CACCCCAAGGTTTTGAAGAAGATAGCTGAGGTGGTGTGGAGGCTTTGGTGGTGATCTTTCTGGAATCACTGGAGACATAGACGGTCCCAGAGCACTGGAAAATGGCTAACTTAACACCCTTGTTTAAGAAGGGAGGGAGGCAGAAGATGGGAAATTATAGGTTAGTTGGTTAGATTTTAAAAGTCCATTATCAAGGATGAGATTGCAGAGTACTTGGAAGTGCATTGTAAAATAGGGCTAAGTCAGCATAGCTTCGTCAGGGAGAGGTCAAGACTGACAAATGTGTCAGAATTGTTTGAGGACGTAATGGGTAAGTTAAACAAGGATAGCCAGCAGCTGTGATCTATTTGAAGATCTTTGACAAGGTGCTGCACAGGAGTCTACCTTTGGTGTTATGGGCAAGGTACTGGCATGCATATAAGATTGGCTGACTGGCAGAAGGCAAAGAGTGGGGATATAGGGGTCTTTTTCAGGATGACAGCTGGAGTCTGCGTGGTCAGTGTTGGAACCACAATGATTTATGTTATACAGACAAAGGGACTGAGTACATTGCTGCTAATTTGTAGGTGACACAAATGTAGGTGATGGAAATGGGGGAAGTGCAGAAGGAAATGGACAGGCTAGGAGAGTAGGCAAAGATATGGCAGATGGAATACAATGGGGGAAGCTGAGAGGTTATGCACTTTGAGAGGAAGAATAGACGTGTAGACTATTTTCTAAATGGGGAAAGGCTTCAGAAATCTGTAGCACAGTGGGACTTGGGAATCCTACTTCAGGATTCTCGTATGGTTGACAAGCAAGTTCATTTGGCTGTTAGCAAGCCAAATGCAAGTTAGCATTCATTTTAAAAGGGCTAGAATACAAGGGCAGGGATGTACTACTGAGACTCTATAATGCTCTGGTCAGACCGCATTTGGAATATTGTGAGCAGTTTTGAACCCTGTATCTAAGGAAGGATGTGCTTGTATTGGAGGGGGTCCAGAAGGGGTTTACAAGAATGATCCTAGGGGAAAAGAGCTTGTCATATGAGCAGAGGGCGAAGACTCTGGGTCTGTACTTGATTGTGTAGAAGGTTGAGTGAGATCTGATTGAAACTTGAGTACTGGGTGGCCTGGATAGAGTAGACAATGGAGAAGATGTTTCCACTATTAGCAGAGAATAGAATCTGTGGGCACAGCCTCAGAGTGAAGGGACAACCCTTTAGAATTGAGATTAAGAATCCGTTCAGCTAGAGGGTAGTTAATCTGTGGAACTCATTGACTTGGCCTCCACAGTCTTCTGCGGCAATGAGTGTATTTAAGACAGAGATATTTAGGTTCTTGATTAGTAAGGAAGTCAAAGGTTATGGAGATAAGGTGGGAGAATGGGGTTGAGAAACACATTGGCGAAAAGCAGAGCCGTCTTGATGGGCTGAATGGCCTAATTTTGCTCCTGTATTGTATCATATCTTATGATCTCATGCCTTATGTAGGACAATGATCAACACTTTTAATGCCCCTCTTGATGTTGGTAACACTAACATCCCATTTAACTGTACCAACCTTCTGGGATTCCATTAAATTACTCAGAATCCATAAAAATTGCAAGTATAGGGTTAAACTGTACAGTAGCTTCACTATTAGCCACAAGTATACTGTCATAACTGAGGCATTCACACTGATATCTGCTGAATTTTTTCACGAGTTAAAATATCCAAATTCTCTGTCACTTGTAAAATTTTACATGTATTTCTTCTGCATTTCCTTATTTAAGAATTTTTATTTTCCTTTGCTACAGGAAGGATATTGTTAAATTGGAAAGGGTTCAGAAAAGATTTACCAGGATGTTGCTGGGAATGGAGAGTTTGAGTTCTCAGAGGCTGGACAGGCTGCGGCTTTTTTTCACTGGAGCGTAGGAGGTTGAGGAGTGACCTTACAAAGGTTTATAAAATCATGAGGGGCATAGGTAAGATGAATAACAAAGGTCTTTTCCATAGGGTGGGGGAGTTCAAAAGTAGGGGGCATATTTTTAAGGTGAAAAAAAGATTTAACAAGGACATGAGGGCAACTTTTTTTACAGTGGTTAGTGTGTGGCATGAACTGCCATAGGAAGTGGTGGATGCAGGTACAGTTACAATGTTTCAAAGACATTTGCATACATACGAGTAGGAAACGTTTGGAGGGATGTGGGCCAAACACAGGCGGATGGAACTAGTTTAGCTTGGGAACATGGTCAGTGTGGACTGGTTGGACTGAAGGATCTGTTTCCATGCTGTATGACTCTAAAACTGGACATTTGTTGTCTTGCAGTATGACAAAATGAGTGTGCCTTTCAAAAGCAGCATGCTGCATCATTGCATACCAAGACTGGTTGTGCAGTTAACCTTGTAGTCCAAGTGAAACATTGATGTTAGTTGTTAGAGCACTGTGAAGTTCTGTATTCCCATGCTATTAATGCAATTTTCCCCAGATTGACATATCAGTAACCGAGGGCTTTGGTGATAGTTTCAATTCCATAGTAAGAAACATTTTGTAAATATAAAGCAAATGTACTTCAGTTCTTTCTGTGACAACCTGTACCCAATTTTTGGGACAGCTGGATTTCTTGCAAATGGCAGGGTAATTTGCACCATTGCTGTTGAAACACCAGGTATTTTTCATTTGGGCTAATAAAGGAGTTCTTCCGAGTTTTTTTACAAACTTGTTTTAAAGCTATACAAGTTAAAAAGCTTGATTTTATATGAGATAGTACACATTCAGTATGATGTTCAGTATTATATTTGCAAGTTTTCCAGTTTGATCAAAGGTTTTCAGCAAAGTTTTGAAGGAAAGCAGGAATTCATTTATCCAGTATCTTTCACATCTCAAAGTACTTAATTAATTAGGAGCAAATTACAGCAGATGCTGGAATCGGTACTGAAAAACCACAAGTGCTGGAGATCACAGCTGGTCAGACAGTATCCATGGAGAGAGAGGAAGCTAATGTTTCAAGTCTAAATTATTCTTCTTCACAGCTGAAATGAAGTGTGGAGGGGATAGCATTTATGCTACAGTGGGGTAGAGTGCAGGTGGAGAAGAGATGTTGATAGTTCAGAATAAGTAATCAGAATGTGAGAATGGCAGAACAATGGTGTGTCTAACTGCCAAACTTGAAAGCAGACAGAGCCACTGGGGTGAGGGGAGGGGAAAAAGGACATGGTGACAGAGAATGTAACAACAGAAAAGACTAAAAGAAAGAGAAGAAATGGGGGTTAGTCCAGAAGGCTGTAAAGTACCTAGTGTGAAGCTGAGATGTTGTTCCTCCAGCGATTCATTGGAGCACTGCAGCATGCAGAGGACAGACAAGTGGGCATGCAAGCAGGACACTTTGTTAAAATGAGTGGCAACGGGAACGTCTGAGTCATGCTTGAGCACAGACCAGAGATGTTCTGCAAAGTGGTCACCCAGTCTTCATTTGCTTTCTCCAATGCAGAGTAGTCCACATTGGATGCAACAAATGCAATACACAAGATTGGGGGAGATAAAGGTGTAATGATGCTTCACCTGGAAATACTGTTTAGGCCCTTAGATGGTGAGCAGGGAGGAGGTGACGGGGCAGGTGTTGCACCTTGTGTGGTTACATGGGAAGGGCGGATGGTGTTGGTTGTCGTGGAATGGACTAGGGTATCCCGGAGGGAACGATCCCTGCAAAATGCAGACAGGGGAGTGAGGGAAAGATTCATTTGGTGGTGATGTTCTGCTGGAGTTGTATGAATGGCAGAGAATGATCCTTTGTATGTGGAGGCTGGTAAGATGAAAAGTGAGGACAAGGAGGAACCAATCACGGTGTTGTGAGTAATGGGTGATAGGTCTGATGTAGTGAGGGTCCTGTCAACCACACTGGGCAGGAAACCACGGTTATGGAATAAGCAAGCCATGTCAGCAGCATTGCTGTTTTGGAAGGTGGCATCATCCGACTAGATGCGATGTAGGTGAAGGAATGGAGAGAATGGGATGGAGTCCTTGCAGGATGTGGGGTGTGAAGAGCTGTAGTGAAGGTAGTTGTGGGAGTCAGTGGCTTTGTAGTGGATGGAAGTGGACAGTCTATTTCCCCAAAATGGAGACAGAGGTCCAGGAAAGGAAAGGAAAGGAAGAGTCGGAAATGGACGATGTGAAAGTTCTGGAAGGGTGGAAATTGGAGGCAAAATGAACAAATTTTTCAAGGTCCTGGCAGGAGCATGAAGTGGCACTGAAGCAGTCGTTGATGCACTGACAAAAGAATTGTTGGAAGGGGCCAGTGTAGGACTGGAACAAGGATCGTTCCACATAACCCCCATAGCCACTCCTTTGACTTGGCAAAAGTGCGATGAATTGAAGGAAAAATCAATCAGGTGGAGGAGAGTGGTGGTGGATGGGGAGTGCTCAGGCCTCTGATCGAGGAAGAAGCCGAGAACTCGCAGACCACCCTGGTGGGGAATGAAGGTATAGAGGGATTGGACATCCATGGTGAACAGGAGGTAGTTAGGGCCAGGGAACTAGAAATTGTCCATATGGTGGAGGTCATCTCCTCTCACATTTAAAAATAGGCCCCCTAGTTTTGAACTCCCCCACCTTAGGGAAAAGACCCTTGTCATTCACCTTACCTATGCCCCTCATGATTTTATAAACCTCTATATGGTCACCCCTCAAGCTCCTATCCTCCAATGGAAAAAGTCCGAGTTTATCCAGTCTCTCCTTATAACTCAAACCGTCCATTCCCAGCAACTTCCGGGTAAATCTTTTCTGAACCTTCCCCAGTTTAATAATCTTCTCATAACAGGGTGACCAGAACTGCATACGGTACTCTAGAAGAGGCTGAACCAATGTCCTGTCCAACCTCAATATGACATCCCAATTCCTGTACTCCAAGATCTGAGCAATGAAGGCAACCATGCTAAATGCCTTTTTAACCAGCCTGCCTACCTGCGATGCAAAACTCAAAGGTGTTCTAGTCCATGCAGCACATGTCTTATTCAGTAAATTATTCTGTTTCTTTTCATACAGAATACTCACCCAGAGGGCCTTGTGTCCATACTGAAAAAAGGAAATTCAGACAAAGAAATCACAACGGTGCAACAGAAGCAGTCAAAGAGGAGAGTAAGATTTCAGGAACCCCAAGACATGCTAGAGCAGGGTAAGGTAGTGATGTTTTGCATTCTTTGGTGCTTTCTGTGCATGTATGTAATGTTAAAATTAGGAATAGGTTGCAAGGTGTTAAATTATGGTCAGCTGAGTGTAAAATTAGTCAGCTACGATAGATGATAAATCTAACTGTGTTAACTGCTGCAATACTTTACAGATTACAGGAGTGATATGAAAACTAAATAAAGGTCAAAAACTATGCCTTACTGAATAGTAGAACTTAGAAGGTATTTTGGTTGGTGCAGTAATGAAGTACTAGTACAGGATTGCAAAGTAAGTAGTGATGAATTGATCAATCTTCTTCACCTTCCCACCATCCACCCCACCCACCCCCCAAAAATACATAAACACTGCCGTTCTTCTTTTTGACATCTTTCCATGTTTCCAGAAAATGTTTATCACATATCTGTCCGGTATTTTAGGAATTTTTTTCTTGTCATTCAACTCAAGCATCCTTCAAGAACAATACACAAATTAGCTACAAAATATATAACAATAAGTAATAATTTGTCCACGTTTGCATTCTATTTCGCAGTTGTTTTTGTAAGGTACCTTGTCTTCATGGAATTAGTAGTCTGTGATGTAGCACACAATTGGATATTAATCTTATAGGTACTGTCAATCCTACCATGTTATGCATATCATAGCCGTTAGTTTAAGTTGTGTTGTGTTTCTAAACATGCATGCTTTGTTCATCTTGTTCTCGTGTTATCTTATCCCCTGCTTTTATCCAACTATCAATCAAATCTTGAATGAAGGTGTAGTTTCTGTTCGCAAGATAACTCTGAATTCCACAGCCTCATGACTCCCTACATGTCAAGAACACTTTTTTTCCTACAGGGCTTCTATTGAGATTTTCTTGGGGACTCCCCCCAACTTCCCAAATATCATTTGCAGCCTTTCAAGATTCTGCCCATTCTACTTACCAGGGCAACCTTTCTCTCTTTGGGGGTTACCCCAGGATTGATTTTCTTTTAGCTATTTTGGGGCTTTTGGAGGCAAATTCACACTGTCTACACTTTGGTGTATTTTATCTGCTACTGTATATAGAAATTCCTCTTGCCCTCAGTCCTACATTTATTGCTTTCAAACTTTGTATCTGTAGTCCATCCTCTTCAATTTTCTATCCACAACTACTGATTTTGTGATGTTGTCCCATCAAATGTGATTTTAAATACTCATGTTGCTTCATCATCTAAGTAATATTGAAGTGTTTCTTCATATTTTGTCATGCTAGTTACTAGTTGAACCCCCTCTTATAAACAATATTTGCAGTTTGGAGTCCAGTACTTACAAACATAGGCTTGTGCAACTTCTAATGAAATTTCAGTTTGTAGCTGGGATTTTTTTTTGCCTCTTTTGATAACACTTAGAATTCCAATAGTTGCATTAAAGTGGCGAGGTTGTACAAACTTGGATTGTTTTTGTTAAAGTGTCAGAGATTGAAGTGTGACTTGATAGATTTATATAAAATTGAGAGGCAAAAATAGGGTGGGTAGTTAGAGTCTTCTTCCCAGGTGAACATATCAAATACTAAAGGGCATAAGTTTAAGGTGAAAGGGGGGAAAGTTTGAAGGAGATCTGCAGGGCAAGTTTTTTTTTTACACAGAGGGTGATAAATGCTTGGAACTTGCTGCCAGGTGACATGGTAGAAGCAGGTACGAAGGCACCACTTAATAGGCATTTATACAGATATGTAATCAGGCAGGGAATAGTGTGATATGCACCATATTGCAGGCAGATGGCATTAGTTTAGAATGGCATCATGGTCGGCGCAGATATGGTGGATCGAAGGGCAGATTCCTGTGCTGTACTGTTCTATGGTTAAAGTCTTGCTAGTGCGGCCCTTAATTTGACACCTGTATCCCTAAGTGGCTGTGCTGTTACATAGCATGAGTGTGATGTTTTGTTTTTACCAAAAGTTACTAAATTCCATTTTCCACTTTGTCTGTTTCCACATCTTGGCAATATCACATTGGCCTTCTACATAATTTGATCTCTGTGCAAATTCAACAATATTTTCTCTCAGCTTGCAACCAGCAAGCCAATTTGCATTTCATTGTTTCCTTTAACATAAAATATTCCAAGGTGTTTAGCAGGTACACATTCATGCAAAATTTGATACCAAATCCTCATCTACAGCAAACTGAAATAGTTCCAACTGTGCACGAATTAACTGTTCTGTTCACAGTTGTGATATTAAGATTTATCCAAATAGTTTATTTTAACCAGAAGTTCAGGAATCTGTGTTTAGGTAATGTCAAATGTAATAGACCACGTTGTCTTTGGGCTATGGACTGAAAATGAGGAAAGTAGATTATACTCAAAAAGGAAGAAAAGGTACAAGTTATTTGCAGTTTTGGGAAAACAAGTGAAGCTAACTAACTGGTGCAGATGAAATAATGTTACTTTTTGGGAACATTGAGTACAGACGAAGTTATGCCATTTCTTAAAAATCAAAAGAACTGCGGATGCTGTAAATCAGGAACAAAAAAAATTGCTGGAAAAGCTCAGCAGGTCTGGCAGCATATGTGAAGGAAAGAAGAGAGGTAACATTTCGGGTACAGTGACCCTTCCTCAGAACTGATGGTGGCTGGGAAAATGTCAGTTCATATAAACTGACGGTTTCCCAGCCACCATCAGTTCTGAGGAAGGGTCACTGGACCCGAAATGTTAACTCTGTTTTTTCCTTCACAGATGCTGCCAAACCTGCTGAGCTTTCTTCCAGCAAATTTGTTTTTCTGCCATTTCTTTTGGGTTAAGGAGAACTCAGTATATCAACAAGCCTCTGGTCAGATTGAAGTTTAAGAGACTTTATGTCAGGAGTGAATCAAAGACTGAATCAGTGTTGGTTCCTTTTTGAGGAAGGATATTCTGGCTATGGAGGGAGTGTAACATCATTTTACCAGAATGATTTGGGGGTTGGCAGGACTGACATATGAAAAGAGACTTATCGGCTAGGACTGTATTCATTGGAGTTCAGAAGAATGAGGAGGGTCTGTCGGAAGCTATAAAATTCTAACAGGACTAGACATGGTAAAGGCTGAAAGGATGTTCCTGATGGTTGGGGATGTACAGTGGGCCATTTAGCATTCAGATAACAAGAAATTTCTTCACCAAGGGAGTGGTGAGCCTGAAGAATTCTCTCCCACAGAAAACAATTGAGGCCAAACATTGAATGTTTTCTAGAAAGAGTTGTATATACTTTTTTTTAGGGCTAAAGGGATCAAAGAGTATGGGGAGCAAACAGGAAAAGGATGAGCAATGTACTTGTACTCCTAGGTCCCTCTGTTCCACAACACTCTTCAGGACCTTACCATTTACTGTACAAGTCTTACCTTGGTTTGACTTTCCAAAGTGCAAGACATCACACTTATCCGTATTGAATTGCATTTGCCAATCCTCAGCCCACTTCCCCATCTGATCAAGATCCCCCTGTAATTTTTGATAACCTTCCTCACTGTCAATAATACCTCCTACTTTTGTATCATCCACAAACTTACTAATCATGCCTTGCATATTCACATCCAGATTGTTCATGTAAATAACAAATATCAAAGGTCCCAACACTGACCCCTGTGGCACACTACTAGTCACATGCCTCCAGTCCAAGAAACAACCTTCAAACATCACCCTCGGCTTCCTAACAATTTTGAATCCAATTAGCTCACTCTCCCTGAATCGCGTGCGCCGTAACCTTCGTGACTAGTCTGCCGTGCGGGACCTTGTCAAAGACCTTACTAAAGTCCATATAGACAATATCCACTGCCCTACACTCATCTATCCTCTTGGTTACCTCTTTGAAAAACTCTAAAAGATTTGTCAGACATGTCTTCCCTAATTAGACTTTGACTATTCGAATGTTGGCTGATCCGGTCCCTCAGTGTCCTGTCCAGTAATTTGCCTACCTGCTAGCCTGTAGTTCCCTGGCTTTTCTTTGCTACCTTTCTTAAACAATGGAAGAACATTGGCCAAGCCCCAGTCTTCCGGAACTTCTCTAGTGTCTAAAGATGAAGCAAAAATCTCTGCAGGGGCCGGTACAATTTTTTCCCTAGCCTACCACAACATCCGAGGATGGACTTGATCAGGCCCAAGGGATTTATCCACCTTGATACTCTTTAATGCTGCAAACACCACCTCTCTGGTAATGTGTATGCGGTCCAAATCATCCCCACTTGTTTCCCTTCTTTCCTTAGCATCCATGATTCTCTCCTCAGCAAACACTGAGGAGAAATATTCCTTAGAATCTCCCCCATCTCCTGTGGCTCTACACATACTGCCCCTGGACTCTTGATATCACATTTTTAAAAGCCTCCCATTTGCCATTCGTTCCTTTTCCTTCTAACAGACTCATCCAGTCGACCTCTGCTTGATCCTGCCTAATGGCCCTGTTCCAGTTTAGCACCTTAACCTGTGGATCTGTCCTACCTTTTGCCATAACTATGTTAAAACTGGGAGAGTTAGGGTTACTGGACCCAAAGTGCTCTCCGACTGACTCTTCAGTCACTTGCCCGACCTCGTTTCCTAAGAGGGGGTCCAGTGTTGCACCCTCTCGAGTAGAACCCTCTACGTATTGATTTAGGAAACTTTCTTAGACACGTTTGACAAATTCCATCCCCTCCGGGCCTTTTACACTCTGGATGACTCAGTCAATACAGGGAAAATTAAAATCTCCAGCAAACACTATACTATTCCTACAGGTATCGCAATCTCTCTATGCATTCATCTGGCCTCTTTCTATATCTATCCTCACTGGCATGTGGCTCTGGGACAAATCCGGCAATCACTACCCTTGAGGTCCTGCTTTTTAACTTCTTACCTACCTCCCTATACTCATTTCGCAAGATGTCATCCCTTTGTCTACCTAAGTCTACCTATGTCATTTGTACCAATGTGCACAATGACCTCTGACTGTTCACCCTCCACCTTCAGAATGTTCTGCAACCACTCAAAGACATCCTTGACCATGGCACCCGGGAGGCAACACACTATCCTGGTTTCTCTTCTGCAGCCACAGAATCTCCTGTCTGTTCCCGTCACAGTTGAGTCTATCAGTATCGCTCTGTCTGACTGCACCCTTTCCGTCAGAGCTGGTCACAGTGCCACTGACCTGACTGCTGCTGCTAGCTCCTGAAAGGTCATACCCTGCAACAGTATCCAAAGCAGTATACCTGTTATTGAGTGGAATGGGCACAGGGGACCCCTGCACTATCTGCCACCTTCACCGCACCCCCCACCCCCCACTTATCTCTTCTGGTGGTCACCCAGCTACCTGCAGCCTGCACCTTAGGAGTGACCACTTCACTATAGCTATCAATGATGTTCTCTGCACCCCAGGTGATCCTGAGTGCGTCCAGCTCCAGCTTCAGTCCCCTAAAGTGGCCTGTCAGGAGCTGCAGCCTGATGCACTTGTCAGAGGTGTAGCCACCGGGGACATTGGAAGTCCCCCTGATCTTCCACATCCTGCAAGAGGAGCATGCCACAGCCCTAATGGCCATGCCCACTGCCGTCAGTCTAGACAGAAAGAAAGCAGAGTTAAAGAGCCCTTACCTGTACCCCTGCTCAGCCTCCTCAAGCTGAAACCTCTCGAGCAAAGGCCTCAGCACTTCCACTCTAACACTGGCCTGCTCTCTTAATAGCTGCTCCCTTTACATCTTTACTTTGTCAGTCTTTGACCTCCTCCTGAGTTTTTTTTGGGTCAGAGGAGGGTGGGAAACACTAATGTAGTGTTTCAGGTTTAACTACACAAGGTTCTGTCTGACCTGCTGTACAGTCATGATGACTGTGGCGATGTCTCCCAGAATCCTGCTGTGATGACACTCAGCCGTCCTCTGATTCACCTTGTTCAACTGAAAAAGTTAACGTTGTTTCTCTCATCATTTATGCTGCCTGACCTCCGTAAATGCAAAGTAGCACTGATGCTGGAAATTTGAAATCAAAACAAATTGCCAGAGAAACTCAGCAGATCTGGATTCCGAAGAAGAGGTCATATCAGACTTAAACATTAACTGTTTCTTTCTCCTCAGATACTGCCAAACCTAATGACTTTCTCCAGGACTTTATTTTTATTTCAGATCTCCAGCATCCAGAGTACTATGCTTTTCTAAGACAAGTAGAAGTTTGGAAAGACAGTGGAAGTCTGGTCCAAAAAATAGCAAAGAAAATTTCAGTAAATTCTATTCTGGGACATGGGAATAGGGCAGGAGTTGAAGGACCAGCCACAAGCTCTTGTTCATGCTTCCTGACGGATGTGGGTGTCACTTAAGGCCAGTGTTTGTTTCCTTTCCTTAATTTGTCCTTGGATTGGGTGGTATTTTTGAGGGCAGTTAAAAGTCACATGTAGGCTGTGGATCTGGAATTACGTGTAGGGCAGACCAGGTAAGGGGAATGGGTTTTTATGGCAACCAGTGATTAGTTTTGTGGTAACCATTACTGAGACTAATTTTCAAAAGCAAAGTTAATTGAATTCCACAGGCTGCCAAAGTGGGATTTGTACCCATGACCCCGGAGCATTAGACTGATCAATGGAGTTCTCTTCTGGTGACATTACCATTACATCACAGTCTTGCCTGGGCTCCCACTAATACTGAATAGTGGAGCACGTGTGAGGGGCTGCATATCTCACTTCTCCTGTTTCTTGTGCTTTTAGATCCTGTGTATCATCTAATCATTGATTCACAGTGTCGTTTTATGTAGACCAGAAAACTGTCACCCTGAAGCCTTGATTTGTGGCTTTTACATGAGTTTAGAAGGTGAATGGAATGAAATTAAACCTCAAAAATGACATTATGAATGGTACTGAAATATTATTGCAGAAGTTGATGCTTTGAAATACTGATTAATGGAGTATGAGCAATGTCTTTAGAAATATTTGCAAATTCAATTAGTTTTGTTCTGTCAAATTAATTAGTGTACTGAGTTCACCCATTATGCTTCGTTGTGACCACACTTCAACACACTGATTTAAGATTTTTATTGTTTTCCCTTAGATGAGGTAAATGGAGATTCCTGCCTCCTTTTGGTTCTGTTGTGCATTGTCACAGTACTTCTGAGCATCGGAGGAACAGCACTTTATTGCACATTTGGTGATCTGGAGTCCAGTGTATGCAGAGACTTCACAACACAAGTGAACTTCTATTATGCTCAGTTCCAACAAGGTGTCGAGAAACTGAAGCACTGGCTGTTATTTTCCTAAAATGACATATCTGCTTAAATAGAATTGAAGTCATTATGTAAATCATGGTTCAGAAGGTTTAGATTGAAAGGTTGATAATCTTGCTGTATGTGCTGCGAAGAAATAACTGCTGTAAAATGCATCAATCAGTAGGACACACCACAGTAATGTCAGAGCTGGAATTTTGGATCTCAACAAAATAAATCATAGCTTAGCATAGCAAGTAAGGATAAATATGCAATTCCATTAAGTGTGGAATGTGGGAACACAAAAGACTTGCCAGTCACTTTCAGAAATTTGGCTTTTGTGTAATTTACCTTTTTAGTGTGGCTGGTCGATAATTCATCACATAAATGTGAACATCTTTGTACGTTGATTTTGTAAAAGGTTTTACTTATCAGTTTAACGTCCTTTCCCTCTTTAAAAATGGTGGAAGTTGTAATCTATATAGCTTTTTTCAAAACTGTTTTAATTGTATTTGGGTTTCTTTACTGCCTCAAGTCTTTGTTTTTCTATTGATGTTTAATTTGGCAGTGATCTGGTTTGAAAGTTAGTCTGATTTTATTTCTGTCTACCTCTTCACCTTGTTCCTATTCTTTATTTCAGCAGCTTAGTCTTAAAAAAAAAATGCAAACGCACACAAATGTTTTGGAGCAGGTTGTTACTGCTAGGGTAAAATTTTCTATTTTCATTTTATAGTCAAATGTACATATCTCTTATCTGACAGGGTAAATCACAAAGTAAACGATTAGCTCTTAACTGGAAGTGTGTGAACAAGCAAGTTATGACTGTCTTTAACAGGCAATGAGAAAGCTTCTGCCTTGTCGTCAAGTTCGTTCTGTTGAATTTTGTTTCTTCTTCCATTTTTAGATAATCTTCTAAATAATTACTTTAACAAACTACGTGCTGGTGTTCTGCTTATGATGCATTAGCATTTCTTAATTTAGCAGTTGAGTCAGAATATTATGCAAAAGTAAGATTTTGAATAATATCTAATTTATCTACACAGCAAATTCCCCCCTCTGATCTGAGAGACAGGGACTTTTAAATAAAGGCTGATTGTGACCAAAAATGCCTGGTCAACTCATTTTGAGCAGTATTGACTAGCATTTGTGTTTGGCTTGCCTGCTACTTTACAGATCAGTGGGATCATACAGGCCTTTTGTTGAATTACACTTTTATAATTACTCACTGTGTATAAATTTATGTTGAATATTCATGGGCTTGTTCCTTAGAAAGCTATCTTTCAATTTGGCATATTTAAGTTTTAACCTTGTTACATTGAAATTTCTGTTCATGTAGAAATCTTTTACTCTTTTTGCTTTTCTATGGTACTACAACTGATGGTTGAAAGGTGAGAGTCTGTTCTATTCCCAGGCTTCCACCTTTGCCAGCGTTGTCTGCATCTTGTGTTCCAAGATTCTGTTGCTTAGTTTATCTCAAGATTACAAAAGACTGATCATGTGATATAATTTTGGGAGGATACATGTTTCAGAAGTTGGTGATTTATTACTAGTACAAGAGCATGCTATGGGCACTGAAAGAATTGATAACTTGATGTTTGATTTCTATTGCACCACAAACACGCACAATCTTGTAAAATATGTGCTGACTCTGAAGTGTGAAAAAGTCATCTTAAAGGGAAATTATTAATTCAAGCCCATAAATTTATGTTTAAAAAACTGCAACACTTAAGAGCAGGTCTCTATACAAAGATTCAGAAATGCAAATGGATAATTCCCTTACCACCCAAGTGTCATCATACGCATTTCTTAAGCCTTGCTTCTATAATCGGTTTCCTAATTCATTAGCATCTACAAATATTGTGTATAAATGATTCTTACTGTTAAAGAAAATAGATGCTACAATTGCACAGGTTTCTCAGCATCTGAGGAAAAAAAATAATTTAACGTTAAGGTCCAAAGACCTGCTTTGCCCATCTTTTGCTGAATTTTTAACTTCAAGCTTCGTTTTTGTTCTTCTTGTTGGCACTAATTCTGTTTAACAAGTCTGTATGTACATAGGAGTGAGTGCTTACTGTTAAACTTTTCTCATATAATGGTTCTGGGTATAATATAATTCTGGCATGTTGGACATGGGGGTTTGCCAGTAAATCTATCCCTTAGTTTGAATGATGTTATCAATTAAATGTGTCAGTAAAAGGGCCTTAAATTTTACAATAGCAACTTAACATATCTATGAAGTTGCCAGCTTTTAACCTAAACTGTGTCATGGTGCATGATTATACAGTAGAGGGCAGAATATATTCATTGTGTGTTACTGGCTGGATCAGTGCACTATTCTAAAATGGTAATAATGGGAAATGTAATTTATTTAATGTAAAATATGATGTGGAGCAAATCATGACTTATTTTCCTTCTGTTTTGTAAATTCAAATTGGCATGTTGACATTTTAGAAATCTAAGATTTAGCTTTGTAATATTAGAGATAGTTAACCTCTGACTTTGAGTGCATAATGTACAAATTGTTAAATGTTTTAACTTTTTTTTTTATATAATGTTGTACCTATTGCATTCTTCACCAGAAATATTTTAACAGGTTCATCTTAATGTCATGAAGTCTAGTGATTTTATTAGTATTGGTTTGAAATGTAAAACTTATATTAAGAATTGTGATTTGAAGATGAAATTATCTGGTGTGAAGTGAATCATGTAACTTCCATCACTAGTCATCTATTTTGAGATTGAAACTTGTGATTTACACTGATCTTAAATAGAAAATCAAGAGTTTAACCAAGCATTTTTGTTTGAGTTTTCTCTTTTTAATGAAAGGTAATTAGAATTAAAAATATTTTAAAATGACCATATAGACTGCTTTCAGGTGGACTATTTCAAAACAAACATGCCTTTCTTTCTTTATGGAGTGAGTTACAAAGTTTCGATAAACTGGCAGCAGATATGGAAACACCACCACCAGCAAATTCCTCTCCGAGCTACTTACCATCCTGACTTGGAAATGTATTGCCGTTTCTTCACTGTCATGGGGTCAAATTGTGGAACTCCCTGCATAACACCACTGCAGATGTACCTACACCAAATGGGACTGCAGCAGCTCTGCCTTAGAGGGCAACAGATGACGGGTGATAACTGAAATCCACATCTCTTGAATGACTTTTTTTAAACCATTCTTTTCAATTGTGACTGCCAATTGTTCATTTCTTGTGAAGTCCCAGTCGACAGAATAACACATAGCATCTCCTGGCAGGGTATTAATGATGGTCAGTCAGTTGCCTGGGACCTAAAACAGTGATAGTGCAGAAAAGAAACAGCATTCTAAGCATCGGTGATAAGATAACTGGCTGGCACAAGGTCTGAATTAGTCATGGAATAAGTATTGCTTCTGTCTTGATAGAAATAACTCCAGCTACAGGAAGGGAGCCAGAAAATAAAAAGGAACAAGTGTGGTCAAAGGAGAACACTAAATGCAAGGGAAGCAGCAGTAATCAGAGAACAATGAAGTCAGTAAGGAATATCTGCAATGTTCTGGTGCTAAACTCAAGGAAGGATTTGATCAAAGCTGGAATCTGAAAAAAAAAAAATCAATCTTGCCTGCAGATCTGTAGGTGGATCTGGGAAGGTGAATAGTGCCATGTAGCATTATTTAAAAAAGAACAGATCATGGGAAGTGGGCTTGTGAAACTATGAAAGCTAACAAATGAAAAGTATTCCTGCTTATTTTATGTTGGAGGCTGAAGTTGCACAAAATCAACCTAAATTCCATATGTCACTTTTTTAAATTTGCAATTACCAAGATGACCAATTAAGAAATTTATCTTTGAGGAATTAAAACCAAGGTCTCTCAACTAGGTTTCTTAATTAACAGTTGTTGGTTAATAAAAGCAGTCAATAATGAAATATATGTTTCCCCAAGAGATACTCAGATACATAGAACCTTCATGAAAAGAGAAAAAACTGAACCAACTACTTTGCAGCAATGACTTTCTGAAAGAAAAGCACTTTGGCAGCTGAAGACAAAGGGTAAAGTACAGATGTTCCAGAGTCTATTCCTCTGTTATGGGACATGCGGTCAAGTCACTAATCACACATAGCTGTCTTAGAAGTCTTGCTAATACAGCTTGCTCGGGAAATATAATCTTAATGATTCTTCAAACAATAACAAAAAAGGTTTCACCCTGAACATAGAACAATGCAGCACAGCAACAGATTCTTTAGCCTACCATGTCTGTGCCAACCATGATGCCATTCTGAACTAATCCCATCTGTCTGCACAACAAGTTTGAGAGAGATCACCTAGGTAGTTTCTAGCAGGCTTCCCTCCAACTCAACTGGTGTTGTCTTAAACCAGATAAAAGAAGAACCTTCTCCAAGTCACTGTTCAAAACCCGCCCCAGCAGAACCAACAGCATCACTAGTCAAGTGATTTATAGGAAGCTTTGTAATAATAAAGAATCTCTAGCCTGCAGTGAACTTGCAACTTCAGGAAACCACTCCAGATAGGTCCACAAAAACTTAAATTCTTCCACAATCTTTCAAACAATACAAAGCTAAAACATGGGAAAGAATGGGAAAAGTCTTAAGTTGGGAAGTGTATGATAAATGCAAGTATTAATAACATATGCATTATAGATAGTTGTCAACATGCAACTGTTTGTCTAACTTTTTTGGTCACTGCTACAACTGCTAAATCCAAGAAGCAATAGAAAAATTGTTCTTGTAGATTAGGTCTTGTCCACTAATCAATTCACAAAATTGTTTTATCTCCACTGATTCTCATGCCAGTACTGCCAGATCAGAGCTTGCTGCATGAGAAATCACAATGTTCAAATATATTGCTGTTAGCTACACTGTAGGAGATGAATTATACCAGAAGGGAAACATAAGTAGACAATGCACTCCAAGCTGCTATTGTATAAAACTATTCTGCTCTTATCCAGAAACTAGGAGCAGGAGTAGGCATTTGATCCTTCAAGTCTGCTGTGCCATCCAATACAACCATGGCTGATCCTCCATCTCAAAAGTCATACTTTTTCTATGCCTCTTGATGCCTTTAAAATCTAAAAAAAATTATCAATCTCCTTGAATGTACACAGTGACCCAGCCTGCTGTGGTAGGAAATTACACAGGTTGTCTCATCCAAAACAGCCTACTCTGCATTCGGAGACCGTGAACCCTGGTTCTAGATTCCTCAACCAGAGAAACATTCTCCCTGCATCCCGTCTGTCTAGCCCCATTAAAATTTTGTTTCAATCAGATCTCTTATTTTTCTCAACTCTAGTGAACACAGGCTCAGTTAAGTAATTTTTCAAAACTGCAGGGCTTTATAGAGTAAGTTTTAAAACCGTGTTGCAAGTTGTCCTTTCAACCAGTGTGCCATGAATTTTTTTTTGTTGGCATGTTATGAAAGCTAGTTTGAAGACTAAATTACAAAAATACTGTTAAATCATGAATCTCTAAACTGCTCACTTGGACTCACTTTGGGGATTTTTTTCTTAAATTTAATGTTCAAGTGGTTATAGGTATATTGATTTATTAGCAATATACAACCAAAAAAGCTGTCACAAAAGTTCTTCAAAAAACCAAGATAATTTAAAATGATTATTTGCATTATCAGTCAATGTGTATACATTAAGATGGAACAAGTATTTGCCACATCTCAAGTTAACTGAGGTGTATCTTCAGTAGAGGTTGAGGCAAATTTCAGTGTACCAATTGCATCTTTGAAGTTTCAAAGATTACTTTTGTGCTAAACAATTCTTTTGACTTCTAGCCCTGCACTTTTGTTTCCATCTCCACCCACAAGTAACTTCCATCAGTGACACACATGGAGCTTCCATAAATGTAATGGAGTCAATGGCTATAAATTTTTAATGCAATCTATAAATTTAAGTTGCCTTGAAGGATGGCGATGTAAATGGGCTAAAGTGTTACTAGCCTTTTATCAAATGAAATGCCTCTAATTATGCAAAGAAGCTTTTTGTCTTGATGTCATTCTCTTCCCCCCCACTCCTGCAAAGGTACTGTGGGGAAGAATGAACTATCTTTAGAAACCAAAGTCATTTTTCTGATGATAGGAATGAATTTAAGCTGAATTGCTTTACAAGTAGATAGAATAATATACTAAATTTTCAACAAACTCCTGTCCTCAGATGGGAATTTCCATACTTGAGAGAAGCAAAATAAAATTAAAGGTTTGATCGAGGATCCACAAACCCACATTGTGAAAGTAGGACTTTGTATTTCAGACAAATATGAGCGTTGCACTTGGGCAACTATAAAGCTATGAAGAAGTTTCTGTACACTTGTTTGACAAAAGCCAAATCACTGAGGGGAATAAAATCTTATTTAAATTTTTCTAATAGCATGTTTTCTCAGTTTTGAGAAAACAATTGTTTATTATTTTAGTATGTGTTACAAATACTTAGAGGAGAAATAATAATTTCATTTGATCCTGAAAAATTTGCTGTGCTGATTCATTTCTATTTGTCACATGCACCTAAATGCAGGGATTCTTGCATTTGGACAGAACTGTTTGTTGCCTATGCTGCAATAAAATTATCTGCACATACTTCCAGAATAAGAAAAGGAATTGGTTGTTGACTAGGTTCCTATTGTTGTATCAATATACTAGATATTTTCTTTGCATTCTGTGTAGTGATCATGTAACACCAGTTGGTCACAAGCTTCATTTCAATAAAAATTGGTGTAAAAAAGTTGGAACTTTCTGCTTTTCCAGCATGAACAAAACCAAAATGGTATTAACCAAAACCAACATTTTCCCCCTAAATAAGAGACAATGTAACATTACGTAATCAATTTCCCAAACCAAAAAAAGTGCTGGAGAAATCCAGCAGCATCTTGGAGAGAAAACAGTTCACGTTTTCAGTCTTGTGACCCTTCTTTGAGGCTAGAAGCAGCTGGACTTGTAATTAAAATCACAAGTGTTAGAGTTCATTAATATAGACTTGTTTAATCAGTTGGTTTTCATTAGCTTTGGCAAAGAGGAGATATTTTGGGAGGTTCACAATTCACTTTTTGTTTCTCTGCAGCAATTAAATAAGATGCTGCAAAGCAGTGTGAACATTTTCTGAATCTCATGCTAGCACTTAAAATCCTGTACACAAGTTGATACCTCACCTAGACTTGTTAATATTTCTGGATGAACATATACTAGCAAACACAATCTGTAGTTTGAATCCTTGGCACAATTTAGAAATCATTTTGGAAAATAACTGATCCTGGTCCTGTAAATGAGGACAGACAAGATTTTAGTTTTGTGGGGGTAGTGGGGAGGGGTGTGGTGGGGGTGTTGAACAGAGTATTTTCTAGAATTGATAACATTAAATTTTGTCTGTATGAACAGTTAAACTGACCTTCGTAATATGGAGTGCCAAAAACTTGGGACAGCAGTAGAAGAAGCATTTATGACATCTAAATTAATAAAACCTGACTAGTAAAAAACACTTGTAATGAAGTGCACAGATTTATGTAAAAGTTTCTGAACAAGGGTGCAAAGAGACCAATTTAATTAGAATACAAATTACTCATTCCATATTGTCAATTATTTAACCGAAGGTTTGTCCTTTTGAGTCTTCTGCTGGATATGTATCATAACCTTAGTAAGAAAAGTAGACAAACGTGAAAGATCAGTTATATCTTTCCCAATTAATTACTACTGCATGAATTTAAAGAGTTACTGTAATTTATACCTGCTCCATTGAGCTGAACTCTATCATCCTCAGTAATCCACTTCATTAACATTGACAATATCCATGTCATGTCTCCATCTTTCTGAACACCAAGCATTT